TAGAAATGCCTTGAGCGGGATAGGGGCGAGAGGAACTGGGCATCAAGAGGAGAAGGAAAAGGGGACGAAGGGGCTATGGGACCCTTGACATAGAGCCAACCCATGAAAATGACTTTTGCGCTTGAGACCTGGAAGTGTGATTAAGAGTGCAATCGTGCCAAGGAAAATGTGATGTTGTGTGTGCATGCGTATGAGGACCCCTAAAAGACTAAGGGACCTACTTCAATAAGGTGGGAATCAAATTGTGAGATCCAAGGAATGCGTAGAGGCGAGGGGGAGGACGGCTCCGCCACACCCCGTTAACGCCATATAGCCACATTGCTTAGGAAAATTGTGTGTGGCTTAAGGATGACGCTTAGGCTATGCATAAGAGAAGAGAAACGCTCAAAGAATCCTTGGACTGCCTGCGTATTGAAAGGAGCAATTGCATGAGAACACAACAAAGAAGCAAAAAAAAATCAGCGTTGCGGAACAACCAGCGAGACTACCACCTGGCGTGAGGGCTGAGCTACATCCTCAATGTCAAAGCTCGTCGCGCGATGACCCACCCCCATCCATCTCAAAGCACTAGGTGGGGGTGACCTCGGGACGAACAGCCCGCGCCCCGAGCATGAGCGTGGGCGGGCCAAGCCAACAGGAACCTGCAGTGGGGTCGACTAAGGCTCGAAAGTCTACCGGGGTTTGACCCTACACCGTGCAACAGCTTCTCTCGCATACACGTGTCCTTTCCTCGTCGTAAGGGAAGGGTCGCGTCGGCACAGGAGATACGGGAGGCTGGCGCCCGATCGAAGGGCGTGCGTCAGTCCACATGTCAATCAATTGCAAAGATCTCGGGACGTCATCAAGAAAAGAAAACAACATCCGCACAATAGCCAATCAATTCTTTTCGACATGAGAGAGAGAGAGCACTTATCAGTTTGATCATGCATTCGACCGAGGGACCGACCCTCGACTCAGGTTTAGTAAGCCGACGAGGCGTTCATCCGTGGCGCCTTGTCTTTCGAGGCGGCCCGGTAGATCAGTTGCAGATGTCGTGATGCATAAGGCAGATGGCGTGCGCGGTGCATTCAGAACCATAGATCTAAACACTCTTGCATTCTCGAACAAAATCCCGTCGTCGAATCTAATCAACGCAAAAAGACAAACATCTACGTACATACATCCACTGTGGAAGGTGCGAAAATGACCAGGGATGCATGGGTCAAAAATCATCCGAGGGAACTGTACACACGCATCCACCATTCACGAGACAAGAGGATCAATTTCTCGACATCTGGGGATTACCCATGAAACTAATGGAAGAGTTCCGGAAGAAGTTCCTTCGCACAGGAAAGCACACAGAGTCATTCTTATTCACGAGGAGGACAAACTCATGTCACAACATCATTCAACTCAGGGAAAAAGGAGAGAGAGAGCGAGAGAGAAAGGTCGGGATAGGAGATACTGAGATCTGAAAGAGGACATTCGGCGTTGCAGCCGTACACTCACACCAAAAGATAAAGATCCGCAACAACAAAGACGCTTTTTCCGTGGATTTCCAGTATGAACCCGGACCAATCACTCACTCAACTCCAATCACCGATCCTCATACCCGCACCGACGATCCCGACCGTCGCGTGCCTACTTCCACCGCTGCGATCGTCACCCCGCTGACACAAACTCGAAGCGGTTCGCCCCGATCCCACAGTCCGTCGTGGCGATCAAGCGCGCAACCGGCCAGCTGTCGTCAGCCCGACAGGACTTTCCGACTCGCACCAAACACTCCGCCTAGCCACTGCTTCCCGGAAGCTGGCTTGGGAGTCGAGAACGTAAGAGAGATTTGCGGACGCGCTTGCGGAATTTATAGTTGCGGGAAGGAGGATAAGGGAGGGAGAAGACAGGGGGAAAGTCGGGGTGTAAGAGACGAAGCAGGAGGAGAAGACTTAGCGGGGAGTGTGTTGCGGAAGCTATGTTGATCCTTCAGAACCCAATGGTCGGCCAATCAGATTCGTCGCGCAATAGGAAGATCCTCTTGTTCAACGCGTCTGATTGGTGAGCAGGGGTGATCGGAGGATTAACCGGGCTCCGTGATTCAAGGTTGATGAGCGGGAAGAGATGAAGCGTGAAAAACAATGCGAGACGGATCCAAGATTCAGACGATCAAGAAAGGGAAGCAGGCGCGCAAAAAGCAGCGAGGGAAAAACAATTGCAATAGGAGAAGGAGAAGAGGGGGAAGGGAAAGGGGAGAGTGCGGGGGAAGGATGGCGTGGGAAATAAGGAGGAGGATGCTCGCATGCGCGGTGCCGACAGCAAGAGGAAAAGGCACCGAAACAGTTACAACTTGCCTATATCCTACACCAATTCAAAAATTGAAATCACCATATCCGCGTGCGAAAGTCGACGCGGGAAAAGAAAGTCCTACGCCTATCCGTATTCTCGCAAAATTCCTAGAGTTTTCTCCGACGTGACCGAGAACATTCATGCAAGGAAAAAGATACGTCGGGCTCCGCTTATTCCGTAATTCCTAACTGTTGAGCCCGATTCCCAGTGCGCTCGCTAAGGCGCGCGGAATTTCCCATGCATTTCCCGAATTGCAAAAAAAAAAAGCAGAATTCCAAAAATCAATAGAACTTCCGAAAATGGGGGCTCAAACAAGGCGCCTGAAATCAAGAAAAGCGACGAGGGTTCTGTGGGGTCGGTATGATACACAAAGGGGTATTGGGCCAAGGGGGTACGAAAGATAGCACGGGGTCGGGAAGTGGTTCGTCACAGGGACCCGATCACGGAAGACTGGCTCACTTTCGACGACCTCAGGGCAAAGCTTCCAAGGGTCCACAACCTAAAAGCAAATTACAGCAAGATCCTATAGTGCCTCCCACCCCACTGGGCGTCCGCCCTCAGGTCTGAATCAGAATGTGCACCAGGCTCATGGTTAAAGGAGGCGGGAGATGGAAACAAAATCTGGAAAGTTTTAGGCCCGGACCTAAGACCAGGCACAAAAGTCCAGGTCTGGCAACCAATGCCAAACAAAAAACTGACGAAGCAACTCAAATGCATTGAGGAGACTCTGAGACCATCCACAGTAGACTGTGAAGAGGTTAGAGTCCTGGAAACAGTCCGGAACAATAAACAGGTTTGCTCCCTTCTCCCAATGAAAGCTGCAAACCTGAGGGTAGAACCACTCCTCAGAGGGTGGAGAAACCACATCCAGGAACCTATCCCTAATGTCAGAAACTCCGGAGAATTCACCCCCCTCTACAAGTACACTCCCAAGTGTGGGGTGAGAGTGCTACGAGACCAGGTCAAAAAGAAGCCCATCGTTACAGCAAGAAAAAGGGCCCTGGTATCCCAGAATGCTCAGGTTTCGGATACAGACATGGGTGACCTCTTGAAACTGCTAAAGAAGTTCCCTTCACAAAGGAATGCAACGTTGCTCTGACTACAATCTCTTCAGGTCACTGCAACGGCAGTCTGGTTGAAGGCCCGAGGTATGCAGTTAGCCGAGTCCTGCATCAGATGTAACTGGGCATGGGAAAACGCCGCTCACCTACGGAGAGTCTGCCCTGATTCAGAAGCTTGCTGGGAATGGTGGAAGGAAAGGTGGAGACATTTAGGCCTCCCACCAGAAATCTGGACGGATGAGTTCATTCTTCAGGCAAAATCATATCCACTAGCCAGCTGCCCAAGACAACGGGTTTCATAGCCCACACCTGCAGGAGCATTGTGCTCTATGCAATATGGCCGCGCAGAAATGACCTCCTCTTCAAGCATCAACAGGGAGGGTAAACTGGTGATTGCCAACTGGCTGTTGAAAGGATAATCCACTAGGAGAAGGCGTGCCCGATTCAGACACCGTTTGTGTCCACTTTTTCACCATGCCCCGGGGGCCATGTCCCACTTGCACCGTTGAGTTGAGCTAGCTCAACGGTGCGACAGGGTTTTCGTGATTAAAAAACTATTTTCTCGCATTTTTTGTCAATTCCATAAAGACTTTTTCGACAATTTTTTGTATTCTGTGAATATATTGAAAAATAAAAGAAGTAAAGGCGAAATCGTTATCATTACTCCCTGTGCCCGAATCTGTGAAGAACCTCATACGCTGTGCTTACGGAGTGTAGTCTGACACTACGCGCCGATCACGGCGCCTGGCACGACGGCAATCATGAACCTGTGTCCGATAATTTTTCGTTTTCGGGGGAAATCTATCCGAGCAGCCACCGTTGAACTACCTACCCCGTTTTTGAAAAGGCAGCT